TCCACCAGCAGATGAGAAACACCCACCTCTCCGCCTCTTCCAAGGGACGAGGGAACCGTGCGGCAGAGTTTCCGTTAACATTTGTTTTCTTCCGACAGCCCAGCAGCAGGAGAGGTGGGGAGAGGGAGGCGGGGCTATTTAATCGTTATCAGAAAATGATCGTATAGATCGCTGCTAGATGAGGGCAGTGGGGGCTCTTCTTGGAGTCTGGCTTTTAAAAAAAACCCAAAGTTCATTAGTGAACTTTGAGCCATCATTTATTTTGCAGGCAGCTCTCTGCCTCTCTCACGTTATTATGGCGCGCGCCGGAACCAACAATCAGTTTTTACCGTAAATGAGTTTGGTTCAGAGAATAAAACACATACAACATTAATTAAACTCAATATTTGTTCACTTGAATTTCACTTTGAATGCTTGGATATTCTCAATGGGTGAATACATTTTTTATAATAATAATAAAATAATACGAATAAACCTTTTTTTTTTTTTTAATGACACCGAAGCTTTCTCAGGGTGGGCCAATGAGTAAACTGGGTGGGCCTGGGCGCTATGGTGGCTACGCCGCTGCTACGGCGTACCTTTCATGTGGCTCGCCAGTGCAGACTCTTGCATCGTTATTTGTTGCAAACTTTGCAGGAGGCTACTCGTGGGCTTGACTCTCGTCTTAGCCATGGCTTGTATTTGTCTTCTGCTAGCCAACGCTCGTTGAAACTGCAACCTCCTGGCACACAGTCATCTATCACTCTCATCAGAATGCCCAGGTCACACGTAACACAAACACTTGCAGGTCGCGTGCACAGCACGGGAAGGTGCAGCGGAGCTGTTTTAGAAGCGAAGCAATTCTTTTCTTTTAATCTAAAAAGCTAACTATTCAGTCGGACAGCAATTTATTGTAAAAGTAAAGCATTTACATTTTCAAGCACTTTATCTCAATTTCAAGCACCATTCCCAAAATTCAAGCACTTTCCCCAACCTTGAAAACACCACGTCAAATTTCAAGCATTTTCAAGGATTTCAAGCACCCGTACGAACCCTGCAAATAGTAATAGAACATGAAAAAAGTAAATATTTTAAAAATGCTTCCCGCAGAAACTGTGATCCCGACTGTGGTCCTCTAATTGAGGAGAACACAATCAAAAGTAGGGTAGGTTTGGTGTGTTAAGCTGAAGAATGTTGTAGTTTTTTTCAAAGATTTTTGCTACTTTGACAGCAGGTAAATGAATGACATCCCTGGTGTTGTTTACGGAGATCGCAACTTTTATGTGGCAAAGAAAGAGAAGTGGCATTACCAAATAGACGAGGACACACATGTGCTCCTTCGGCAGCCAGTGGAACAGGTCGGCTGGGTTGCTGGGCAGAATCTCATCATCATGGAGTGTAGAAATGGTCTGGATGCACTGCTGCAGCTGCTTCAGACACGGCTTCACACTCTTCACCTGAGGGGACAGAGACATGACAATATATAACATTCCAGCTTCGAGTGGTTTTAGACGACTTGACTTTATAATGGGCTTATCATCCTTAATGCAATCAATGTATGCATGCATGCTGATCAACAAGTTTAGTGGGTGTTAATCAACAGTTTTTTAAACCCCTATGAACACGTGCTCCACTTTAATTTAAACGTTCAAGCTAGTTTCCTTACCTGACCAGCATCCAGGTAGTGTGTGACCTGTAGGACCAGGAAGAAGACCCTGAGGGACTCCTTCTGGATGGGGTTTCCCTGCCAGTTTTCTACAATGGTTCCGCACAGTGTGAGCAGAGGATGCACCTCTCCAAGCTTCCTCTCCATTAGGAGCAACTAGAAGATAAAGAAAATATATAAGTGGTTCTTTGTTGTTTTGTTTTCAAGACACATAATAAAAACAACAGCCAGTATTACTGCTGGTTTGATAATAAATGTATTTATATAGACAGAAAAATATACATGTAAGAAATATTTGGGTAGCGTTGGAAAAAATCCTTGTTTATACTGCCAGTACAAAAACCAATACAAAAGTAAAGTAGAGTGGACAACTTACCATTCCTTTACTGAGGAGAAACAATGCTCTGAAAAAGAAAAAATAACAACTTAGTAAGACTTTTACAATCAACCAATATTGATAAACACTTTTTGTCATAGTTGTTTTGGAAGCAAGGGTTAAGGCTGTACCAATTGAAACTACTAAGTACTTGAAACTGGTGAAATATGTCTACTGTAACCCCCTAATCCCACCAGGAGCGTCTGCGCTGCGTTGCACTGCGGCGTTTTTAGCGATCGCGGCCACTCTAGTCAATGGGTGCTATTCCACCAGACACGCTGCGCCGCGGCTCGAAGCGTCCCAGAAGCTCCTCGCCACAAGGAATTTCTAAAATATAGGATGAATCCTATTTTTGACGCGGCGCAGGCAGGAAGTGGAATGTTCATCCAACAACTGCGAGGCTGCACACACGACGCTCCGCTTCCGCAACGTTTTGAAACGCGCCTGGTGGGTTAGGACGCAGGAGGAGGTCGCAACGCGGCGCAGCCGCAGCCACAGCGCAGACGCTCCTGGTGCGATTAGGGGGTAAGAGAGGGTTGTACTTATTTCAAAAGAAATACTGAAGAAGAAATGAAGAAATAATGCATTGGAAATGTAGAGATGTTTTGTCTCAATGCATATTAGGGGTTTGAAATATAAAAATATTGAAATGTAGGATGTACAATTTGATATAAATTATGTTTCCTTTATTTAGTGTCAATTGCTGTATGGTTTTCGGTTTTCCATTTCTTGGTTTGGAATTGATTAGATTACACTTAATCTCCCTTGTTCTTTAATAATTGAGTTTTAAGCTGCCTATATTAATAGTAAACTTGATCAAATGTGAGGCACCATATTCTAACCACTTATCGCATTAAATATGGAGCTCACATAGTATGGACATTTACCTGGTGTATTCAGACCCAACCACCCGGGCATACTCAGCTCCAACACCCAGCAGGTCACATGCTGACACCAAGTCTTTCTCCAGTGTATGAAGTTGCTGAAAGAGGCAACAAATAGGAGCATTCCTGTTATTACTGGACTCTTGCAATAGTTAACTAAAACATAAATAGTACAAGTAGCACACAGAAAAACCACTATTCTATTATTTTGCATGTATACATACCGCCAACTGGAACAACAATCTGCAGTGCCAGTATGGTGTTTGTTGTGAAATCTGGATGGCTTTGCGCAGGAGGGGTTTTGCAGAGTCCACCAAATTCTGAAAATGCATTGAAAGGATCAAAAATCAATAATAAATAACAATACGCAGCCTACGCAGAATGCACCACCATGAAATCCCATATATATGACGCATATCAATTTGACTTAGTGTAAGGAAGCGATGAATGTATGCAGCCATGCTAATGTTACTTTTACCTCACAAAATGAAATGAGCAAAAATGATCTTACCTGTTGGCAGAAGAGTTCCGACAAAATGCTGGCAGCTTCGAATTTGACATCTTCAAACTGAGGGACTTGTTGAGATATAAACCACTGCAATAGAAGAAATGCAAAATGTTAGCTGGTTAATTTTGTTGGCGTTTGCTCTCTTTATAAACCAATAATAATTCCATAGAGCGGCTTATTTTTCTAAGAGCAGGAAAAGAGCGAAAGCGGTCGACCCAAGGCCGTACATTGAATAAAATGCTGCTAAAAAGTCGTAAAGGTATATCTCCACACATATATAACCTCCCTGGATTAGCAGCTATTTAAAATGTTCCACAGTTCGCTGTTTTCTCTGACTGCGGCCTACACCCGTCCCCCCGTCTGCGCTGCATCCCCGCTCTTTCCTGAATCAAACCCCCCTCACCGCTTTCTCCAGGTGGCTCCGGGCCAGCTCGCTGTTCTTGGTGTGGTGGTAGAGAACCGAGCCCAGCTGAAGATGTGTTCGGGCCTCGATTCTCTGTGGAGGCTTAAACTGGAACACAGCCTGTAGACAGTGCACACAGAGCCTGATTTTGGGCGGACTGGAGGTTCGGAAATGCTCAGCAAAGCCGAGCAGGGCGAGGTACCAGCGCTCCGGGGCCTCTACGTTTGACGCCATTTTCCCCGACAACAACAAGTTTTTCAGCGCTATGGCCACACTCGCGGGTTGCCAGGTTTGGTCATGTAGAACCCACGAGCAAAGCGACGAGAGCCCGAATATATTGCTTTTGTTTACTTTTATTATTTTCAGTAAACATTTTATCATGCATGTTGGACAAACAAGTGTTATTGGTATTGTTCTCTGCATTTTTACAAGAGAATGAAAGACACTTCTTGTTAATCTATTTTTTTTATTTAGAGTGATGACATTTGCATTTTTGGCAAGTTTTAAGCATTATGTTATTCCTGGTGTTAATTTGACTTCTACGTTTTAAGTAATTTCCAATATTGCTAGTATTTATATATTGTTCTCTATTTTTGTTTTAATTGCATGTTGTTTCAATCTTGCTATGTAAAGCCTTGTAGGGCAGCCTGTCTGGATGAAAGGTGATATATTAAAAAAGGTTGATTAGTGGTTGAATATAATACTCTGTACCTTTACATTATCATAAAATAAATTTTCAAAAGTACCTTGGGGGCTTCAATATATTGATACTAGTGCTTTGAATCATTTCTTGAAGACCTTAGTTATTTTTGTTATATTGAGAAATATATATATGCCTCTACTGAGTTTCAACAGAATGATGAATATTTGCTATCTCTAATACCAAAATCTAAAGTATTTATTTAAAGTAAATGTCATTATTTAACCCTCTGAAATTGATAATTAATTTAATGTTGTCGGTTTACAAAGCATGTGTTGTATTTATTTAAGTTACATTTGACTGTGGTTTATGTTTGTGTGGAAACTGCTCTAAAAATAAAATGTTCTCACTGCATGAACAGCAGTATTTAATCAATGCAACAACCTTTGAACACCGTTAAATGTTATATATTAGCGAAACTGGCAACTCAATGTTGAAGATAAACTCGCGAGATTTCCTCCGAATAACGTGACTTGCTGATGGGTAATGCTGTCCACAACACTGGCGTACGTGGTCCCAGTTTCTTTCTTTAAAGACCTTGAAAAGTCCACATTTATCTAGTGCGCAGAACCAGACAGCTGCAGCATTTCTTCGCGGGCGTCGTCTAAAAATAGACTCACACTCTGCTGCAGCTTGGCACCTGTCGTTTAAAATCATCTTCCGAAACGTTAACAACAACAACAACAACAACAACAACAATAACGAGAAAAGAGCTGCAGAGTTGCAAGTTGTGAGAGCGACATACCAGCCTCCTGCGAACAGAAATGTGCGCAAAGATCTGCAGGGCACAGTGGCGACAGATCACATCGTAGAATTGTAAACAAGGGGTCCTTTTAAACACGAAGGTAACAAAATAGAGCATATTATCATCAATCAACATCTAGATTTAACTGCATTACTGCGTATGCATGTTTATTCATTATTACAACTATCATTCGCAGATGATCTATTTGAGGGGGTTTTTTCTGCGCTTATTTGTTTGAGGAAACTGACATGTGGACCAAATCTTGGTTGAGAAATATAAGCGGTGTGTTCAGATGTGACGGAAAGTAAATGATTAACCAGCAGAGGTTTTGTAAGGCTGTTTGTGTGAGGCGTGTAATCACGTCCTCACTTCATGAGAGAGGGAGTGCTACACGGCGGGGCTGTTGTGTTGTTAAATAAAAAGTGTTTTCTCTTTGCTCCTATTTATTTGTTCATGTACATTCGTCTGCAGTGGGGTTTCCTGAATGAGTGACCGAGTGTCCGACAGCCTTGGTGATCTGTGAAGGGCACCCATGGCCCACAGTGTGACCGACCATCAGAGCCCTCTGCCCGTGTCCGAAGCCACCGTGCTGGCCCCCTCCGGCCAAGCACAGGTGAGCATTGTTTCTCCATGACTCACTAGAATATACTTGCTGTGACACGTTTAAACAGCTTGAATGTGGAGATAATATGCACTACATTTATGCCTATTAATGACTTTGTTTACAAAAGCTTTACCACCTGGTCAAATTAGGTTAGGGTGTCTGTGTTAGCTATTATAGCTAAATGTTACACGTTTAACCTCGAATTTTGAAAGGATATTTCATTTCATTTAAAAAGGCAATGTTTTTTAGAAGTTACTATGAATTGTTGTGGTGTAAATCCTTTATGATGGACATTTAAACATGTATTCTGTGTGACTCTGAGACTCCTCTCTGTGTAATGGAGCTGTTGCTGTGACATACAGTAGTAGAGCCTACACAGACTTCCTAAGGACATTCCTCTAACAGTGCATTGCTCGAAATAGCCCGAAGGTGCCAGATAATCTGAAGCTGGCCTTGCTTTACAAAGCAGCACTGTGAATAGTGTTGAATAAGAGGTATCATGACAGCTGTTTCATTTATTTGGAGCACAAGGTTAGGGTTGGTCAGGGGCTATGCGGGACACATTTATCAACATTTTGCTATTAATAAAACTTAAGCTCTTACAATGTTAAGACTTTATCAGGGGCTCGAATACACCTTCATTTCAAAACTTCATGGAAAGTGAACTGCAGTTTACCTCAAAAGGTATTTGCAACTAGGCAGGGAATGGATTATATATCCTAATCTGTAATAGTTAAAGCAGAATTATACATGTAAACAAATGAGATGCAAACTGTATTCAGGTAATGAGCTGCGTTTTGTTTGTTATTTGTGCAAACTGCTCTTCTTATCAGTTAGTGGGATTTTTTTATTGGGTTCAATTGTCCCTTCCAGCAAAATAAATGGTCACGGACACAAATACACACCCACACACACACAGATTCAGTAGTGCAGCTGTTGGTTTTATCTTGTGTGATTCTGTCATAAGGGTTATGTCACTAACTTTGAATCGACATGATATTGTGGCAGTAACTTTGCTGAGGGATACACACAGGAATGTGTGTGCTGATAAGAAATGTATGATACATTTTTGTGACGGTCAAACAACCACATAATGACAGATAAATGATTAAACATACTTTCCTTATCTCCACTAACAGAGTAACCAGTGTAAGGTTGCATAGAGTTATCTGAAGGGTCAGTGTTTATATAAGTATAATGTTACACAATGTCAATGTGATGCAAACTTGTCTGTGTGTCCAAACAGGACCTGAGTTCCAGATGGACGGCTGTGGACTCCCTGCTGTGCGGGGCGTTCGCTGGAGCTGTTGCCAAAACAGTCATCGCACCTCTGGATCGGACCAAGATCATTTTCCAAGGTAAGAACAACATTCCTCACTAATGCTCCCTTCCAAATACAGAATCTAGTGCAGAGTATGGGCTACTGTATAGCAAGTGACTTACATTCTGAAGATAATGAAACTACTGTTTTACTGTTTACACCAGAGTTTTCACTGACTGTTGCAACTCTTCTTAACTCATTGTTAATCCTCTTAGTAGATGTTTAGCCTGCTTGGGAGAGTGTGTTATAACCTGAGGTTCACTGTGTTCCTTGTTTTGTTTCACAGTGTCCTCCAACAGATTCTCAGCTAAGGTGAGTTCAGCTTTGAATCTTTTAATATGTAGTTTCACTGGCCGAGTTATAATGCAGGATTTTTTAATGACTGTACTTAATAAAAACAAATAAAAATACATTTGGTGTGTACAGCTTCTCATATTAATATTCCTTACATTTATACGATTTTTAAATTGAATATTTGTGTATTTTCTTGACTGAAAAACCAAGAAAACAAAAACAAACAAGTAGGAATTTTAGGAATCAATATGTTTTTTATAATAAACAATTATTAAATGATTGGTTTATTCTTAAAGATCAATAGAATAAACATCCCTTCATCCGTCTAAGCTCTCATATTATTTGTTATGCCACGTTACAACCACGCTAATCCTCGCATACACATTCATTATTAAAGACAACACTTGATTTCGCACCTTAAACATATTAAGATGATCATGATTGTTAGATGTGGAAAACATGAAGGGATTGTATCTCAGCTCCTGACACGACATATCCACTCCCTGCAGGAGGCGTTCAGGTTCATCTGCTGCTCCTACATGAAGGGCGGGCTGCTCAGCCTGTGGAGGGGGAACTCTGCCACCATGATCAGGGTCATGCCCTACGCTGCCATCCAGTTCACCTCCCACGACCAGTACAAAAGACTACTGGGGGGCTACTACGGCTACCAGGGCCAGTGAGTAGAGACATTGTCAGAATCAAAATCAGAAATCCTGTTTTCTTTTGTTCTACAGCACAGAAATGTACATTGTTACAACAGCAAAAGCATTGTGAGGTTAAATGCAACAATATAAATAAAGAGGCAATCGCCATGTCATACAATTTTTAAATAAGTACATGACCAATGTAAAAATAATGTCTTTCAATAGAAATGGTTTATTTATTTAGAGATAAAAATAGAAATGTTTTAAGTAATGTTAGCAGCGTGGTTGTAGGGATGAAACAGTGGGTTGTTGTTTGTTTTTGTATATTTGTTATTATTATTATTATTATTATTACTATTATTTACTACAGATTGTTGTGTTGTTTGTTTCAGAGCTCTGCCTCCTTTCACACGCTTCCTGGCTGGCTCTCTGGCCGGCACCACTGCTGTGATGTTCACCTATCCCTTAGACATGGTGCGAGCCAGGATGGCCGTCACAGCCCGCGAAATGTAAGCACCCATCCGCTGTCTGTTACAATCCAACATCTGCTGTGGGGTCCCTCTCAGCTCAGATTCACCCTTGTGTGTATTAGTCCCATTGTTGTCTTGCCTTTTACAATTAAATTGACTTTTGCCGTTCATTGCATTTATTCAGAGATGGCAAAAGTACACACATCCTTTACTCAAGTAGAGGTACAGATACTCGTGTTTAAAAATACTCTGGTAAAAGTAGAAGTACTGAATGAACTTCTTTACTCAAGTAAAAGTAAAGAAGTATGGGCTTTGAAATGTACTTAAGTAAAAAGTACCCATAACTACCAACTGTTTTAAAGAGTACCTGACCTCCCTTTATATCAATAGAACAATAATGTCATTGTTGGCTAATGAATGTTTCGATGCTGAACAACGGCAACATGACAACGTTCTCATTGGTCCCTCTTCTTTAGAGAAGACTAGGAAATGATGGTTTGATAGTGTTCAAATCAATAGGCACACAATGACTCTAAATAATAATGATCACGCCACCAAACACACATTCAAACTAAAGTAATAAACCTTTGTTGAAAATGTAAGAAGTAGAAAGTACAGATATTTGTGTTAAAAATGTAAGAAGTAAAAGTAAAAAGTCGTCAGAAAAATAAGTAGTGGAGTAAAGTACTGATATCAGAAAAATGTACTTAAGTACAGCAGCAAAGTATTTGTACTCCACTACTTCCCACCTCTGTATTTATTACAATACAATGTGTTATGTTAAATGGTAGAGTCTGGTATATAAGGTCTTTGCTGACCCTTTTTCTTTGGACAGGTACAGCAACATCATGCATGTCTTCATGCGGATCTCCCAAGAGGAGGGTATCAGGACCCTTTACAGAGGCTTCACTCCCACTATCATGGGTGTCATTCCATATGCAGGGATCACATTCTACACCTTCGAAACCCTCAAGAAGATACACGCAGGTACTGATACGTTTGTTGTTTTATAATGTCTACATTCATGTCCTTAAAGTGCCATTTTACATATTAAGTTGAATAAAATAAGGTGTCATTCATATCTTAAACTCTTATTGTTTTGTGTTTTCTCTCACTTTAGAAAAGACCAAGCGACCGCAGCCACACCCCCATGAGCGCCTGGCTTTCGGTGCCTGCGCAGGCCTCATTGGTCAATCTGCCTCGTACCCACTGGATGTGGTGCGTCGCCGCATGCAGACGGCCGGCGTCACCGGGTCAGCGTACGTCACAGTCCTAGGGACTATGCGTGCGATCGTAACACAGGAGGGAGTCATACGTGGGCTATATAAAGGCCTGAGCATGAACTGGCTTAAAGGGCCCATTGCCGTGGGGATTAGCCTCTCCACATTTGACATCACAAACGACCTCCTGCTCAAAATGCACCAGATAGGCTTCTCTGCTCACTGAATCATTTCAAACAAGGAAGAGGAAAAAGCGAAGACGGATGTCAGGGAGCCGTTTAACTATCTCACATGGTATTAATATGTTTGTGCACAGTCAGAGCTAGGCCTGCTGCACACTCCTTTTCCCTTCACAGTGTCAGAGGAGGGGAAGAGTGGACAGGAGATGCACGGAGGAACACAGTTTCTCACACTCTGGTAAACAGGATTCACTGACAGAGAGGGTGAGGAGGCAAAATGAATTGTCTTTAAATCGTTATTGACCCCACGTTGCCATCATTGTGGCTAAAGTAAATAACAAGTGAACAGTAGACAAAGAAACATTTTGTTCTTGGAGATTATGGAGCACTTGTTTGTGTTGTGTTTATAAGATAATGCTTGCACTTTATTCAACCTACAATGTTCTTTCAAATTAATCTGGCAGAATCAACAGAGAGAACGTGTTTGTAATGAATTGCATTGCTTTTAATTGGAGGGGACATTTTATTTTTTATTTTAATCAAGTTGCTTTGTTTTTCTTTGATTATTTTTAAATAGTCTAATCGTGCAGGGGTTGATTTTTTTTAATGAAAGGAGTTATGCAATATCTTTTTCTTAAAATTTCAATTTTATGATGGTGCATCTGTGTGTTGAATTGAGATTGAGAAAGTTGGTGATCATGTCAGCAGGACTGCACGGTTTCACTGTCCGTCCATCCATCACGGAGGAGGAGGTGTAGTATTAAAATAAGTGGTGGCTAATCATATGATAAATAAATATATAACAGATTTCTATGTGATTACTATTAGGATGTCAGTTGTGTACTGTGTCGCCGTTGTTGTGCTTTGACTTGACTGTAAAGCGTTGCTTGCCTGAAAAATCTGCCAAAGCACTGAACAAAGGCATGCATTTAATGTGAATAAGGAGTTCATTTGCTTCCACTGCTATGTACATTTCAAAGAGACAGTATTTCCAAAGATGTACGTTTACAGGCTCATGTCAAACTGACCCTTCAATAAAGTATCCATCCACAACTCTGAGCAATGCTTTCTTCTGTCCACTTGAGGGTGCCATGTGATAGGCAAAGCTCACACCACCAGCAACACCACAGAAAAGACGTGTCTTAGATTGGGAATCAGGAAAAAACTCTGGTTTTTACTGACAGCCCAACAATCTTACATGTTTCGGAACTTGTGGGTTACCTGTTTTTTTTCAGACTCTAAATACGCACTTTTTCCCGACTCTGTAAATGACCCATCACTGCAAAATAGGATTAATGTTTGTTATTTTGAGAAATTAAAAAGTTCATGGGTGGAGGAGCCAGATACCCGCTATTAAAAAATGGCGACAGATAACCCACAAGTACCTATTTGTCGTTTCTTTTTTATGTAAAAATGTGGTCTAAACACATTACCAATAAATGAACGATGTTTTGAGTGTATTGCGCAATGTTCCCCTAAGAATGTGAAATTGTAGTTGGATTTAAATGAGCAAATTATGATATTAAATATCTTATATATAATGTTTTAATTTTTAGCACATACATTGGATCAGAGAGAGAGAGAGAGAGAGAGAGAGAGAGTGTGTGTGTGTGTGTGTGTGTGTGTGTGTGTGTGTGTGTGTGTGTGTGTGTGTGTGTGTGTGTGTGTGTGTGTGTGTGTGTGTGTGTGTGTGTGTGTGTGTGTGTGTGTGTGTGTGTGGTGTGTGTGTGTGTGTGTGTGTGTGTGTGTGTGTGTGTGTGTGTGTGTGTGTGTGTGTGTGTGTGTGTGTGTGTGTGTGTGTGTGTGTGTGTGTGTGTGTGTGTGTGTACTCTCTGTCAGTAGATGGCAGCATTGAGTCTCTGCTCTCTGTGCACGAGGACCATCATGGTTAGTTCGGCTCCGATCTCCTCATGGCCTGAACTTGACCTGCCCTCTGCTCTCTGAGACACTCTTACTGTTATTGAACTTTTCTTTGTTTTATTTAATTTGAACAATTCTGAGAAACAAATCTCTTAATCAAGCTTTTTATTTCACAATCTATCAAAACATGTTATTTACACTACATATGAAATGTATACTACAAACCTTACACACAATACATTGCTTACATCATTTATTTATTTATTGGGTTGAATTCACATTTTAGTTTTTTACACAGATGTTTGATGTCAAAATTATGTTTGAATATAATTTTTAACTGAATCTTTAAAATGAAATTAAAGCTCTTGAACCATCATTAGAAATATATTTGATTTGTATTTTTTATATATCTGTTAAAAAGCAATTGATAAAAAATAAATAAATAAAAACTAGTAACAAATTCAACAAAATACCAAGAAATAACTACCAATTATGAAACCTTTTTCAGCAACACATTTATTAACATTTGTAATCACATCATGTAAATAAATAGCATTTTTACACTTCCATTAAATAAAACAAGACTGAGGTCACCACACACGTAAAAAAATCCTGATATCAAAATGATCTTATTTTCTATGAAACATTACTCAAAACCGCACAGGTCAAAACATTTTTATTTATCAGTGACATTTCTGAATAATGTTTAAAATGAATACAAATACATTTGTAAAATGGTATGCTGCATTCAAAGGTAATCATATTTTCCGTGCTCGTCCTGTTTTGCTGCACCGGTCAGTGCGCATGAGCTGTGACTACATCTGAATATCAGGTGAGTGTGTGCCTGCTCTGTCGCATTGGTGATCATTAACCACCTGAAACCGCTTCCTGTCTTCAGCAGCTGCTCAGAGCCGTCTCCCCAACTTCTCACGTCCGAGGATGGAGAGACTCTGCCCTCCTTCCATCTGTCCATCCTCCATCCCTCCATCCCTCCTCCTTTCCTGCCTCTATGACCTTGACTGTGAATTATGGGATATCCTGCCACCCCACAGTGTACAGCCACCCAGCCTGGTATTGCAACAATTGAAACAATACTGGGTGGATAACATGGTCGGAGGGCGGGTGCCTGAGAGAAGCAGGAGGAGGAGGAGGAGGAGGAGGAGGAAATATGCTTCTTGAAGGTGCCGTTGCCATAGGTAACCTGGATCTGTGCCAGGAGAGGGGAGTGAACCATTTGCATGTATTCAAATCTCGCATGAATAATTCACTTTGAAGCCCCTGCTGGAGCACTGGCAGACAATAGCTGCTCACACACAAAAATGCACATATACAGGGCGAAAATGCTCACAAATACAGCCGTACCGCAAACACACACACACACAGCCTGCGTGAGAAAGGTGACAAGGTTACACTGGGAGGCACACAGGAATAAAGGCTTTCTCACAACTAAATCAGATTGGGATGTGTTGAGACAGAGGCAGCGGCTGTAACATTATTTCCTTGTATTTCACGGCTTTAAAATGTTCTGCTATGTTCAGAGGAGGCCCTCTTTACCTCAACACAATAGATTCATAACCAGGCGTAGATGCTGTTTGACTTTGAGCTTATACTGTGCATGTCCCACCACAGGAAGCTGAGGAGGGAATGCATAGTAAACATATGCAGATGCGCACATGTTCACACCCCTGTGGTGCCCTGCGAAGGCCACACTGGCTGGGATCCAGTTCACTTTGAAGGCCGGCTACGTGTTAGCTTCTCCACCACCTGGTTCCATGGCATAAATTCACCGGCATTTAAAAAGCCTTGAGACATTTTATCAAACATAAACGGGCCTGTAAACGTGTCCCCGTAAAGTAGCCTTGGAAAAGCCAAGAGATGTGTGAAAAAAGACCAAATCACACAGCTGCGACTATAAAACTCACTCAAGAGCAGCTATAATGCCTCCGTGCATGCATGCTGATATTTACAAGTGCTTTATGAACGTCATCCTCTCCCACTGCACAACCTCGGAGCTCCCTCTCCCCATAGCTCAGTCTTGTTAATTTTATAAGATCCAGCATATTGCCACTTATCGGCTGGCAGCAGTGTAAAAGCTCTGGGGTCAGTGCATTACTGAGCTGCTGGGCTCCACTCTTCCATTAGAGGGAGTGTTCAGGCTGCGTTGGCCTTCACTCAATCAAATACGGGCTCCGAAAGCTGCTCCAAGTGCAGATGAGGGGGCACAAACACACACACTTTCACACATACACACATACAAATGGAGACTCCTTCAATCTCAGGTTGTGAAACTCTAGTACGCATAAATCTGAGCACATAAATCCAGGCACCTACAACACACCCACACCCACACCCACACCCACACACACACACACCCACACACACACACACACACACACACACACACACACACACACACACACACACACACCACACACACCACACACACACACACACACACACACCACACACACACACACACACACACACACACCACCCACACACCCACACCCACACCCACACACACACACACACACACACACACACACACACACACACACACACACACACACACACACACACACACACACACACACACACACACACACACACACACACACACACACACACACACACACACACACACACACACACACACACACACAACACACACACACACACACTCTGTGCTGGCCCTCACTCTTCCCAGCCTGGGGGGGGTGACACATTCATTTGCATGCAGTGTTTGCATTTAAAGAGAGTAAATGTATGGGTGTGTGTGTGCTTGTACTGCAGCTGACATTTTCACCACTTGGCATTTGAACAGATTCAACACTAAATGAAATGTAGCTTCCCCCGATCTCTGGATCAGGTGAAACAGATGAGAGGTGGAGACGAAGCAGCAAGCAGGAATAATAACTAGGGAGATGGGATTTAATAGAGATGCAAAAATAGAAATGTTAATAGAATTTGTGTTTGTTGGAACATGCAGTACAAAATGACTGTTCATAATCAGTGTGGAAATGAGGTCAGTGTTATGCCAATGCCTGTCAAGGTAGTGTCAAGGTTATAGGAAGTTAAGATGGGTGTTAATGTGAGCTATGGTGCAGTGCTCTCTCATAACTAATTATGATTATATAGTGAGTACATGCAGCTGACTGCTCCACCATTTTATAGTATTTCTATTGTCTGACGCTGCTGAATACAAATGTTATATTTACGTTCCAGGAAGGGATTTCAATTCATATTGCTTCAAATTGAAAATATGGTGTTTGTTTGTTTAAAATATGTAATGTTTTGTCTAAAATATAGCCCCTTGGACATGCATGCTTTAAACAGACAGCGTTATTGATGAATTGTAATCTCAGCAATCTTATTTTGTAAGTCATTGTCCTTTCGTATTTCTACAAATGTTTCATTTTCAAATGTTTGTATTTGTTAATATGTCATTAAAAATACACTCATCTAAAAAAGAGAGATGATTAATGCTAAATTGATCTATTAGCTAACTACCATTTTCACATGTTTGCAGACACATAAAGAAAGGGGCACCCTCCCGAGGCCTCAGTGCATACATGTATGTATTTCTCCTGCAGGAGTAAACGGTGGGGGGGGGGGGAGAAGAAGGCTCTGACAGACTTTGCATGAGAATGGCCGGGGTCCTGTGAACCTTCTGCTCCCTGTGTCCACATTCAAAAGCATCTCTGCAGTCAGCATGACAAACTAGGCTCCAAGTTCTCTGACTTGTTAAAGCAGCCCCCACCCCTCCATGTCCTGACTCCAACATAACTCCCTGTTTGGCAACCGCCCCCCCCCCCAAAACCTTGTTCCTCTGTGTGCAACCTGGGCTGAGCCTACAGATTTTAGGAGGTCTCTGTGGGATTACCAAGTTCAGGGAAACAGGGAGACAAACCCTGTGCACACACACACACACACACACACACACACACACACACACACACACACACACACACACACACACACACACACACACACACACACACACACACACACACACACACACACACACACACACACACACACGCGCGCACACACACATACCATGTATACATCACTTCAGGGGACATTACATTGACTTACATGCATTTCCTGGAGACTTATCCTAACCTTAACCATAACCAACACATGCCTAACCCTATCCCTTACCCTTAACCTTACCATTACCCTTAACCTTA